CGGTCATGACCGTCGTTACGGGCGACCAGGACAAGCACTTTTGGCAGCTAATGGCACCTCAGTTACGACATATGGCACACGAAAAGTGCCTTTGACTATATGCGGTAGAAATTTTACCTGGAGATTCACATTAGCCAATGTTTCACGGGCAATTATCGGGGGAGATTTTTTGCGCTCTCACGGACTTTTGGTTGACATCAGGGGCAAACGACTTATCGAGGCAAGCACTTACGCTTGTATTCCAACCAGAACGATTACTGGCACCCCGCCTCGCCTTCACTACGTAGCCGAAAACGATTTTGCCAAAATTCTGAACGAATTTCCTGATTTAACGCGCCCCACATTCAGCAACCCGACCACTGCACACGGGGTAAAGCATCATATTGTTACAGAAGGCCCCCCGGTGCACGCAAAGGCTCGAAGATTGCACCCCGATAAGCTAGCCGCGGCAAAGGCAGAGTTTGATAACATGATTGAACTCGGAATCATCCGACCCTCAAATAGCCCCTGGGCGTCTGCGCTTCACATCGTACCTAAACAGGACGGCGGGTGGCGCCCATGTGGAGACTACAGACGTCTCAATGATATGACCGTGCCTGACCGCTACCCAGTCCCAAACATACAAGATTTTACGGCCCGTCTTGCGGGAAGGACAATTTTCTCTAAAGTGGATCTTGTTCGCGGTTATCATCAAATACCTATTCATGAACAAGATATCCCCAAAACTGCCATTATCACACCATTTGGCCTATTTGAATTTCTCCGCATGCCGTTTGGGCTTAAAAACGCCGCCCAGGTGTTCCAGCGTTTAATGGATACCATCTGTCGAGGTTTGCCTTTCGTATTTGTCTATCTTGACGACATCCTTATCGCCAGTACGTCTAAAGATCAACACAAAAAGGACTTGCGAAATCTTTTCCAAAGGCTAAAAAGCCACGGTATGGTTATCAATCCTGCCAAATGTAAATTCGGTTTAAGCGAATTAGAGTTCCTGGGACATACTGTTACAAAAGAGGGTGCTTTTCCTCTCCCCAATAAAGTGAAGGCGATAACTAATTTCCCTCGCCCTTCATCTGTAAAAGGCCTTCAAGAGTTTCTTGGCATGGTTAATTTCTATCATCGGTTTTTGCCCAAAGCTGCCCAAATAATGCAACCACTATTCGCAGCACTTTCCGGCCTGCCCAAGAAGTCGAAGGTTTTGCCCGAATGGACTGACAGTATGATATGTGCATTTGAAAAAACTAAGAAAGCACTGGCAAATGCAGTTATGCTTACACATCCACAACCAAACGCACCAACTGCCCTCACAGTCGACGCTTCGGACGTTGCCTTAGGAGGTGTTCTCGAGCAAAAGTTAAATGGATCTTGGAAGCCAATTGCATTTTATAGTAGACAGCTACGCAAACCCGAGACGAAATACAGTGCATTCGACAAGGAACTTTTGGCCGTTTACTTAGGAATACGACATTTTCGTTATTTTCTCGAAGCACGAACCTTCACGATTTTTACAGATCACAAACCCCTCACTTTTGCTATGTCAAAAGTCTCTGAGCCATGGTCAGCGCGACAACAGCGTCACCTCAATTTCATATCTGAATACACAACAGATATAAAACATATTTCCGGCAAGGATAATACTGTCGCCGACGCCCTGTCGCGCGCGGTCATCAACGACATCAATGACGGCATCGATTATGAAATTATGGCCACAGATCAACTAAACGACAAGGATACACAGGCTTACCGCACTGCTATCACCGGTCTTCGTGTCGAAGATGTCCCTTTTTGCAACGGCAAATTTACATTGCTGTGTGACGTATCTACGGGTAGACCACGACCTATAGTGCCTGCCAGCTGGCGCAGAAAAATTTTTGATGCGGTTCACGGACTCTCGCATCCAGGCATACGTACCACTCGCAAACTGATCTCACAAAAATTTGTGTGGCATGGTCTTTCCAAACAAATTGGACAATGGGCCAAAACATGCCTGGAATGCCAAAAGTCTAAAATAAATCGTCATATACGGGCCCCTTTAGAAGATTTCAAAATGCCAGACAAACGTTTTGACCATATCAACATTGACTTAGTTGGTCCTTTACCACCATCACAAGGATACAATTACCTTCTTACAATAGTAGATCGTTTCACAAGGTGGCCAGAGGCCATTCCCCTCAAAGACATATCAACTATGTCTTGTGCCCGAGCTTTCCTGTCAAATTGGGTTGCCCGTTTTGGTGTTCCACTTCACATTTCTTCTGACCGAGGATCACAGTTCATTTCAGGCCTTTGGTCTGCCTTTGCCGAATTATTGGGAACAAAAATTCATCACACTACAGCCTACCACCCACAGGCAAATGGTTTGGTAGAACGTTTTCATCGAACAATGAAATCTGCCATCAAGGCACGACTCAATGATACAAACTGGTTGGACGTGCTTCCATGGGTTTTATTGGGAATCCGCACAGCTCCGAAAGAAGATCTTACGGCATCGTCAGCTGAGCTCGTTTATGGCGCTCCCCTCACTGTCCCCGGTGATTTCATATCAGACTCTAAAGACAATAGCTGCCCGACCACAAATCTTCGGCTTCTCAGAGAAAGAGTAGGATCATTGGCTCCAATTCCTACGTCGCACCATGGTCCTTTCAGAGCAAGAATGCCAGCCGCACTCAATCAAGCCAAGTTCGTGTTTATTCGTCGTGACGCACACCGATCTCCTTTACAGAGACCTTATGAAGGACCATTCGAAGTTTTGCAACATGGGAATAAAACTTTCAAAGTACAGATTGGAAACCGAAGCGAAACTATTTCTGTTGACAGGTTAAAGCCAGCTCATCTTGATCTCGACCATCCTGTTTCTGTATCCATTCCTAAACCAAGAGGACGTCCTCCAATCCCTAAAACAACAACGAACAATCAGCGTTCTACAGACGATCGTTCATCCGAACCTACAACCGGTTATGATTACAGAACCAAATTTGGTAGAAAAACTCGTAAACCCACTAGATTTTTATAACTCATTCCGTCTGGGGGGGTAGTGTGGCGAACCACTTAACTAATAATAGCCGTTATGAGTCACAATTGTTTTGTTTATGTTTTTGTCACGCATGATTACTTACGTGCTTTTCTTACGATAACTTGTCATTCTGTTTTCTGTTCGCTTGTCGTTAACATTGCTTTGTTATGGATTAAACATCAACATAATTGAAAGTCTTTTTCTTGTTAGAAAGAAGTTAGTTCGCTTCAGCATAATATTTACGAAATACACATCAATCATCAATTCTTGGCAAACTGTAGGCGTCTTTGATTGTTACAAGATTCAAATGTCTAAAGTCTATACAAAAACGAGAACTTCCGTCCTTAGGAACGAGAACAATAGGTGAATTGTAGGAACTTTCACTCAGTTCTATTACACCTTGATCAAGCATGCTCTGTACTTGTTTCTCTGCAATTTCTCTCTTCGCCCATCCCATACGTTGAGGTGGAACTTTAATTGTTTCAGATGTTGACGTTTTAATCTTATGTTTGACTACAGAAGTTCGTCCAAGTTTTCCATCAGGGCCAGCAAAAACATCCTGAAATTCGACGAGCAAATCATGAACACTTTGACGCTGTTCATCCGTTAAATCTTCTGGATCGTCGACGAGCTTCTTTAAATGTTCAGGTAGTTCCCTGGTGTCCATGACATCACCAGGCACCACTTGTTCCAGCGAGAAAGACAGTTAGGTTTTCTCTTGGGCATAATAAACCGATCAGCAAATCCGCAGGTATTTCTACCGCTTCCTTGCTAACATTGACCACCATGAGAGGCACTAGAGAGCATGAGGCGACCACTACTCCGGGGAATTAAAAATAAACCACGATGGCCATACTCGCTCTCAAACACACACGCAGCTTCTGCCACAGCTAGGACGTCACTATTGGGTGTCCACGGGCAATTCAAACGACAATAAATCACCATCTCACTCTCTCTGGGAACAGTCACACATTTATCTACAACAATTCTACAACTAGGAACAGACGAAACAGGCTTAGTCAGGGAAACAGTTTTACCATTAACTTCCATTTGACCTACAGACATATGCAAAACACAGTCATGCTCTTGGAAATAATCCATACCAAGCAAACCATAGGGGGCACCAAGATCAGCAATATTCACTCTCTGAACAGCACACACAGAATCAATACAAATTTTCAAGTCAATCATACCACGAGTTTTCGGAGAAGTTCCATTAGCAGTTTGAAAACAAACATCACAAGGAGACAAATCACACTCCTTTCCACCAATAGAACAAAAAACTGCATAATCTATAAGTGTAGCAGCACTACCAGAATCAATAAGAAAACGTACATTAATGCCATCCACATCAACCATAGCATACCAGCTAGTGGGTAATCTCAAAGAACAAATCAAATTATCAAAGTCATGGTCCATGCATAAATTGGTCATCTTTTCAGTAGCAACTGAGGACCCCCGTGCCACTGATTTCTAATTTAAAGGCATATCCTTATTCTTGGGAGCAGGGTGAAACTGGGGAATATTCCCACCCCAGGCAGAATTTGAGCTATTCCCTTGAGAAAAATTTCCTACCGGGCCATTGATCGTTTGCTGGGCCGAATACGCAGTAGAAGGCTGCGAATTCTGTGGAACATAATATCTATCACACTGAGAAGCTATATGACACCTGCCATGACATGTCTGACACAGGTTCTCCGGATTACGATACACGGCGCAATGTTTTTCGGTAGGCGATCCAAGTTCGCCCCCCCCCCAAAAAAAATTTATGGAAAGTATCCGCCCCTGGCTATATCAATTTAAAGTAAATCGACAGTGTTCTGTTCAAATCTTTGACTGTAATGAATTTTTTTACGTTTCATTTACTTCAATTTTTTTAAAGATTGCACCAAAAATAAATGATGGAAATAAATAAAAGGAAAACTAATTATTTTTATAAAAGGGTCGAACCATGGAGTGTTAAGTTTAGATCTACGCTATTTCCATATTTACCTGCCTCCCTTGGCCCACTGTAATCGGAAGCCATTTTCCCTCCTTGGAAAATTTTGAGCGTGGGGTATCCAGATACACCATACTCTCCGCATGTTCCTGTATTAGCCGTGCAGTCAACCTATCCCCATGCAGAAAAAAAAAACTATGAAACTACTACACACACTAAACTAGTTGTATGGGGTGCTTGAAAAAGGCGTGGAACAAGCAGCTTCTGGTATGTGGAATTTATTCATATTTTCATTTTTTGCTCTTAAGTTTAAACAAAAATTTCAAGCAAATAACCAACGATAGGCAAGGGATTAAATGAGTGTTTTACTAGATTTGTTCAAAACAATATATAGGCCTATAGGCCCAGATCCATGTTGATAATATGGCTCAACCACTTATCGTAAGGTTACCAGTCCATGTCGAGTATGGGTATAGTTAACCAAATAAATGTTTTAGATGTTCCAACTATAAGAAACGCCATCTAAAATACTTGAGCCACAAAAGTTGCTAATAAAGTATCAAATTTTGGTATAATTGCTTATTGTCAGAGTCCCGTGATTTGTGCATTATGTGCAAGAAAAATCAATATCAGCTGAAAAAGTCTAATCTTGTATCATAAGTTGTAATCAGATGATCGGGAGACCGTTTTAAATACTGCAATGAGAGAATTTTCCACCTCTATTATAGGAAGGCATTTTAAAAACGTAACACCTAAATATCCTCCCAACACCAAACCACATATCTATACTAAGTCAACTACCCCACATATTAAACGTAGTAGGCCACCACCAAGCCCACCTGCCAACCTGCGGCCTCTGTACGGAGCCACCATTTCTCCTCGATGAATTATTCTTAATGTTGGGTACCCGCCCACTTTGTATTCGCGACACACCTCTTTATTCACAACGCAATTTACCTGGTCAGAAAGTTAGTAGAATTTTTCATGGGTATTTAAGCTCTGAATAAAGCTTTAAGCAAACTTTCACTTATGAGTAACAGGTTACCCTTTTATTTTAGAATCTATCAAGTTTGGCATTGCTTGCCCCAGGGGTGTGCAATATTCCATGTACACAATGGTTGAAAAAACTCACAATCACAATATTTTATGTTTTCAATATTTAATTGGGGCACTTAAAATTTCGAGTTCTTGCATAGTTTGTTAACATAAGCTTCGACAAAAGGGTACTCCCGTAGTATGTGAACCAAGATGGTGGACACCGGAATGTGGTATGTGTACCAGGTTAGAGTTAGGCCAAAGTTTTATTCCAATTTTTCTGATTTTAGTTCTATTACGAGTTCGGGGACTAGCCAAGTGATTCTCGTATTTTTACCTGAAATTATGGCTATTACGGTGTCCGCCATCTTGGTACACATACTTTAGGAATACTGACAAAAGTTGTGGCAACCCTTATTGACTGACTGCTCAAACATCATTTTTAAAGAAAGAGCCAAAAAAACTCTTTCCATTTTCAGCCCGTGGCTCGCAATCCTGCTTTGAGCAACATTGTACAAAAATTGTTGGGCCATAATTTTATTCCGTTTTTTTTTTAATTTTAGTTCTATTACGAGTTCGGGGACTGTCTGTGTTAGCCAAGTAAATATACCCCCTGCCCATAGGCTTCAGTCCCTTTACACAACTTGATGTAAAGTAGGTGAACAAAATTAGTTACCACAATATCGGTACACATACTTCTGGAACGCCCAAAAATTAATCTATTATTAAGGGATGCTTACCTTGATCAAAACAGCGCTGGACTTATCTGACTTAAGTGCAGTTGCAGCTTTCTCATATTCGGGTGCAAGTCTTTTGCAATGCCCACACCTGGGGAAGTTAAGAAAATATAAATTAATTAAGGTAAACAACAGTACTGGCTGGGGCATTTTAACCTCTTTATTTTTTTGCACATTTTTGATGTTATTCCACAGTTTTTACAAGGTTTTTCATGTTATCATTCTGCCCAAGGAAATGGCAAAATTTGATCAGCTACAATTTTTTACAAAACCATTTTTTTTTCTAAATTTCATTATTGCATTGCCTATAATTTTTTGATCTTTTTTTTTTTTGATGCTGTCAATCTTGTATTAGAATAGGTTAAAATGGTCAGGCAATATGCACGTATTGCCTCACTTTTCTGTTTATACAATGAGCATATATACAATGAGTGGAAACTTGAAAAGATTTGCTCATTTTGGTATTGTTCCCTGCATTTTTTACGTCGTCCGGCTAAATGGTTCGTTGCATATTAAGAAAACGCATTGCTCGCTGCCAAAATCCCTTGCTTCAGCCGAGTCGGGTGCGAAATTGGCCGTATTGAGGTCTTTAATTCTTCAATACATATTTGGTTTTGGGTTTCGAAGTATGGTACGCTGAAAGCATACAACTATGAGCATATGCTTATTGGGAATGCATATCTATTAGACAGAAAACGTAGCTACAGTACAGAATATGAACCAGTCGCCCAGTGGGGTGCGGTTATTTATGTATTTATTAGGATAATAAGGATAAGGATTTACATATTTATCCCGGGGGAAAGGAAAGACGACTTATCCATATGGCGAACCACGGCCTCTCGTCCGGTTACCATTCCAAGTCGGGCATGGGATTAGTTATATTGTTTGTTTTCGGAAGCATGGACTTGTTGGTGGAGGAAGCCGTAACCGACCAGCGGTTACGTGAATCACCCAACGGCGGCGAGGAGTCCAGCAATCCTCTTGCACATAACCATCCCTGCATGGGATTCGAACCTGCGGACCCATGCAGAGTAATTAGAGGTGCGGTGGCGAGCGTATTCCTAACGCTTAGCCCGTTGAGCCACACCGCCGCGCATGGGATTTACATATTTATCCAAGGGTAGAGGAAAGCCGAGAAGAATGCCTAAATATATGGCAAACCACGGCCTCTCTCAATCATAGCTCTGTCCTCCATATGAATCACATGGCTCTGCGAGCTATTCGTTTACTTATTAAAAATACTGATTTTAACTATTTCTCTGGGATATCTTGCCATTGAAAACAAAAGCCAGAAATTGGAAGAATAGCAGAGAATGAAATGTGTGTATTATGTAATGAAGAACCTGAGTTTGTTTCACATATTTTCATGTATTGTAAATTTACAAAAAATATTTATGAGGATTTTGTTTTGGATATATTAAAATTGATTAGAATACACTTTGTTATCAATATGATTCTTGCATATTATTTAATTTCAACGATCCTTTATATAGTCATATAGATACTGTTGATTTGGATGCAATTATACTTTTGTAATCAATAGTGAGATATAAAATTTTGACCATGAGAAATTCTATTATATTCGAAAATAAAACACCCCATTTTGCCTTTCTCAAAAAGCAGATAAAAATGGCCATAATATGTAGAAAAATATAGAGAATTATAGAATAAACAACCCATTTGAGAGGGAATTGAAAAATTTATGTAAAGCGTTATTTCAAAAAGAAAATTATATGTTTATGATATGTGTTTTATATCAATGCATTTATTAAAATAACCTAATTATGGTATGGATTACTACTGGAATTGAACAAAATAAATACTGAATCATGGATGCAACATGGAATATGAACTTATTATATTAACCGTAATTAAAATCACTCAATGAGTGAACGAATGAGCATACTGTAATGCTTATTGGGAATACATACCATTTATTAGGCAGAAAACTTAACTACAGAACAGAATATGAACCAGCCAAGTGGTGACCTGGGATATTGTATTCATTGATATAGATAGTTTATTTTGAAAAGTCCACAATCTGACAATACAAACAAATAAAAATGGAGAGTTCTGGAGAGCGAGCAAAACCTTTTAAAAAGTTAAAACACGATGAGTATCATGTGCCCCGCCGTGTTATAGCAAGTAGTAATGTGTAATGAATTTAATTCACTGTGGTAAATGAATTGCTATCTTTTTATTTGTTATGAGCACACTTGCTGGAACTCCATAATCTATTATTTTATTTAGTTAGTAACACTTTTTAAAAAATATCAAATTGTTTATCATACTTGCATCCATATTTCGCCCTAAATTCTATGACACTTTCTCTGTATCCAAATATCTATGTACATGACCACATTATTATTTTTTAGTAATACTTCGTTTAAAAGTATCTTAATGTTTTATATACTTGCTATTCTGGTATTTAATCAATTTTTTGCCTTGAATTTTATTCTATGATAACTTGCTCTGTATCCAAATATCTATATGTATATGAGCACTTTATTTATTTTTAGTACCGGTAATACTTATTTTAAAAATATCCTATTGTTTATCATTGCTATTTCAGTATATTATCAATATTTCGCCTTAAAATTCAATTCTATGATACGTGCTCTGTAAGCCGAATATAGATATTAACATGAGCACTTTTATTTCATATATATATATCTGCTGGAGAAGGGTCAAATCCTGATCATGTATTAATGTGTGTCACTATCCTCCAAATCACTTGCCCAGTCATAATCAAGTATTATAATTTGATGTGTTCAAATTATAGTGTATAAAGAAATATACTCATGATTTCAATTACTTATTATCAAATGTTTAATAATTAAAGTGCTATAACAAATAGAATTTTTCCTCATCTTTGCTCATAAAAAACCCATGTCCTATCACATTAATTTTTAGTAGACAAATTTTCCAAATAATAGATATCCTTGCTAACCCATTTATATGCAGTTGATATGCAATACATGTCAACTTATCAGCTGAATAAATGATGATCTTTAGGACAAAACATGATTATTTAGTACTTTCCAAAATCAAAATTCTTGTGAATAATGTATATAGTGAATTACGGTATATGAGAGCTATTGAAGAATTTAACACCGAAACCTGTTAAATGACCCCAAAATGTTGTAACGATGTTCTCCCAGTAAACACACCTGAGCATCTGTTTTTTTTATTATAATTATATATGTTCGATGGTTTGACGAACGAAATAAACTCTCTCTCTTATTAGTTTAAAATACTGACTTCTGGACTTGGCTAATTTTATACATATTCAAAACTTGTAAATATTTGCAAATCAAAACTTGTCATTTATTTCGTTCCATCCATGTATTTTCAAACTGTTTTTCCAATAAAACGTACTTATGCCTTACTGTTATTTGTAGCTTATTATTGTTAGCTAACTATTTTGAGGTGGGGGTGCAAGACTTCACAAATTCTAAAAAGGGGGGTGCGGCTTTGAAAAGTTTGGGAATGCTTGTATGTAGTAGACGCCTAACCTGGTACAACATGGTTTCGGTGTTCTACCAACTGGGTTTACATACTCAATTTGTATTACAGTTGTGAAACAGAAAAAAGCTGACAATGTCGGTCTTATTCCATCTGTAAATTTACCAAAATCTCCACAAAGAATGAACAATGTGCCAGACCATGTGTATTATCGATGAAATGAAAAGTGAATTAGTTCACATATAAATTATTTTACATACAAAAAAAATGGTGCTTCCAGAAGTATGCTGAACCAATATGAAGGTAAACTAATTTTGTTCGCGGCTATTTTATATCAAGTTTGTGGTAAATGGACTAAATCTATAAGGTAGGGGATATTCAACTTGTGTAAACACAGACAATTCCCGAACTTTTAAATAGAACCAAAAATAAGGAGAATCGTAAACCTAACCTGGGACACATACTACAAGAGTACCGAAAAAACAGCCCACATAGTAAAAGCAGTTATGGAAATACTTTACATTGCAGAAAAATTAATTCACATAGTAAATAGCAGACGCAAGATGTATTTTGCATTGCAGAAAAAATACCTCACATAGTTAATAGCAGTCCTGAAATATTTCTCACTATTGATAACAAAAGTATAATTGCATCCAAATCAACAGTATCTATATGACTATATAAAGGATCGTTAAAATTAAATGATATGCAAGAATCATATTGATAACAAAATGTATTCTAATCAGTTTTAATATATCTAAAACAAATTCTTCATAAATATTTTTTGTAATTTTCAATACATGAAAATATGTGAAACAAACTCAGGTTCTCCATTACATAATACACACATTTCATTCCCTGATTTTCTTCCAATTTCTGGCTTTTGTTTTCAAAGGCAAGATATCCCAGAGTAATTTATAGTTAAAATCAGTATTTTAATAGGTAAACGAATAGCTCGCAGAGCCATGTGATTCATATGGAGACAGAGCTATGATTGTGAGAGGCCGTGGTTCGCCATATATTTAGGCATTCTTCTCGGCTTTCCTCTCCCATGGATAATATGTAAATCCCATGTTATATCAATGAAATAAATACATAAATAACAGCAACCCCTCTCGGCGACTGGTTCATATCGTTCTGTAGATACGTTTTCTGCCTAAATAGATATGCATTCCCAATAAGCATATGCTCATAGTTGTAATGCTTTTCAGCGTACCATACTTCGAAACCCAAAACCAAATATGAAATTGAAGAATTACAGACCTGCAATACGGCCAATTTCGCACCCGACTCGGCTGAAAGCAAGGGATTTTGGTAGCGAGCAAATGCGTTTTTCTTAATATGCAACGAACCATTTAGCTGGACGACGTTAAAAATGCAAGGGAACAATACCAAAATGAGCAAATCTTTGCAAGTTTCCACTCATTGTATATATGCTCATTATGGTTTATATTACTAACCATAAGCTAAAGATGGGGCAGAAATAAAGAGCAGGGTGAGAACCATTGGCATGCTTTCCCTCAATGGTCCCTTTTGAAGCGTTTGTTGGACTTATACATAAAAATCGATCATCTTCAACTTAGTTGCAGGCTTGCAGCCTTATCTGAGACTAGACATGGGCGAGCAAGAATAGTGCTTAGAACTGCCAGCAAAAAATAATTTAAAGAATAAAAAATGGAACATACCATGGTGCAAAAAATTCAACAAGTTCGATGTCATAAGTTCCAATCTATTTTTGAAATCGTTGTCTGTGAGTTCTATGACATCACTCCCCATCGCCACGGCAACCAAACAGGAAAAAATACCAAGTAACTTCATGTTCTGTATCTAACTATCCTACCGGTATGTGTAAAAAGTAATAAATGAACTGAAATTGTCAAAGGAGATGGTTAGAATAATTCTATCACTATAATGACTTGAGTGACAATGCCTCGTATCAGAGAATCCCATTTTGCTGATGAACAGACACCCCTCTTTTCAGGATCGTTTGAACATGGTTTTCTCTCGATATCAGTAGAAATACAGTAAAATGAAGTCACGCAATAAACTAAGAAGCGCAATCTAAAAAAGTTATCATTGAATTCTTTAAAAAAAAAAAATCTGATTTACCATAAAAATTTTTTTTAGCGTGGCATTGAAGAGTTTTCAGCATTCAATATAAGATTATTATCGACACAATCCTGACACGATGGGATGCATTTGCCGTCATGCCAGGCGACCCTCGTTTGTGAGACATACCCCACATATGTATTGAAAAGTCGGACCCGACATTCTTGGAATATGAAAACTGTACTCGCAAACCCCTCTTTCAAAGTAAGGACTGTTCTTGCAAATGGAAAATTTGAGGCCAGTTCACTAAACGCCATCAATTCCTTCTAGTTGGCGTGGCATAAGCATTTTCGCATATGTTATTTCTAACCCCCACCTGACTACATCCTGACATTCAAAAATTGGCAGACTCAGAGACCTGGAGACTAGCCTGTGTAACTGGCCGACTGAAGAAAGTCCAGGAATGGTCTAGTACAGCGCTACTCAACTGGCGGACCGCGGTCCGAATCCGGACCTTTCGACCATGAAATTTGGACCGCTCTGCTTGTTTATTTTGGCAGCATAAGCATCGTTTCATAGTTCTGTAGTTTTAGATGATTTTGATACAATTTAAATACACAGCTATACAGCTTATCGTACTGGTACCGATATGCGATATTATTTGTGTCCATATTTGCGAGCCATTCATTGCTCTTGTATTTAATTTAATATTGCATTTGAAGTTTCGTTTATTTGACGGAATAAATTTTCTGTAATGTCCGGACCCCAGTAATTTTGAAGTTTCGTAAACGGACCTTTGGTGAAAATAGTTGAGTAGCCCTGGCCTAGTATGAGAATAGCTCAGTTCTGCACTTATTAAACCTGACACAGTCAAATGTTGTTTGCTTAGATTAACAGTTAGACAGTAGGCCTACCGGCCGGTACCGGTATAACATGAAAAAATCATAAATTTTTCCCTGTCATACAACATGTCAGCATGTTCTTGAAGTACAGGAATTTTGACTACTGTAACTTAATACCGGTACAGTCTAATAGCAAAAATCTAAAATTGTGACATATCTAGTTTTCAGATCTCATCGTCTTATTACCGCTGGTAAAATATAAATTACGCTTACAGACTTACAATTCTTGAATTATAAATACGGCCAGGCGGCTGTGCGGTAATACCATAAAAGCGCCTAACTTCGGACAGTTCCTAACTTCGGACAAAATTTTTGAACGGCCATATCTTGGCTAAAACGCGCCGTATATTGCTAATTTTAATTATTATAGGTTGCGCTGTTATATCTACATCTATTCTCATCTTTTTTAATGTTGCATAATTATTTTTTTGGTAAAAAAACGGAAATTTTGCCGAAAATTGACTGTCCGGCATTCAACGGCGCAGAGCGTCGCTCCTACCGAAGCTATCATCGTCAAAATACCATCATTCGGTAGAGGGCGACAACAATGTATATAATTTATTTGAGTGATCGCAAGATGTCGTACGAGATTTATATAAACCTAAAATTCTGAATTATAAATTCCGTAAGAAAATTAAGATTTCACGCAGCGTCAAAAATTACGTCAATCTCACGTAGATTATTTTTCGCTCACTTCCGACACGACGTCACACTGCGTCGCGGAAATGAATTTTGACGCCAGACACAAGGGAGCCAATATGACAATTTCCGTTAAGATAAAGACGGCGTTCCAATGTAATATTTTTGTATTTTGTTCGGTCATGTATGAATATATGCCAAAATTACATTAATGAAAATACATGTCACACTTAATCGATGACGTTAAAAATCGAATATATAAAACTATGATAACTCCAACGTCCATATGGCACAGTGCACTGACTCAACCATTATTTTATGATTAGTAGTCGAAATGACAGTTATTGAATACGGCCTGGGTGAATTTTATTCACTCGAAATTAAAAATAAATTTAATCTCCAACAAATAAACGGGACCTACATGTTTACAAGATTAAGTTGAATTTTAAATTAAACTTTACAATCGGATTTACCGTGTGTTTGATATAAATTATCATTTATAAAGATAACCGCGCAGAATAAAAAAAAAGCTATCCGTCGAGAATATTAATACTTCAAAGACTTCGAGAGAAGCCCGTTAAAATACTTCATTGTAGATTGAAACGGTTTGCATCAGATATATTTACGTATGCATTTCCTGATTAAAATGACTAACGTGTTATTATACTCATCTGAAGTATCGAAAATAACGAACGAAAGATGTAAACACAGGACGACGGAAGTTTCAAATAATGCATTTTCGTCGTGACGTCAATGTAACGTTACGACGACGATCGAGCGTCTTATCTTCACGCAACGACGTGACTACGTCATCCGCATCGAAAGCCTCTTTCTCTCTGTGCGTCGCGGTTACGCAGTGAAGAAAATGACTGTCCGAAGTTAGGGCAGTGAAGGATAACGGTCAGATGGCAAGAAATATCGATTATTCCAATAGTAAAAATAGTCCAATTGAACCGAAATTTGCAGGGAATGTAAATTACAGCACGAATGTTTTACCGAGCAATTTTAGCACTATTTGGACAATAAATGGCCGAGTTATTGACGAAAATATAGTAATTTTGTGTCCGAAGTTAGGCGCTTTTACGGTACCGGTGCCTGAATATAATTCACGAAAGACTTATTCGCAACTCAGAATTCTGTCAACCAAATAACATACATGTTAATTTATTAACGACGACATAAATCCTCTTCAAACTACCTAAACCCAACTTTATACTGCCATAAAGTCAATAAAATTCGAAAAATCACGACAAAATCTTTCTTGTGAAGCAGCGGGCCATGGAAATGCAACGTGTGCCTGAAACGACGTCACCCGGTGTTGGAGCAATCTGATTGGCTAATTGGGACTAAAGTCGATGATGCGTGAAGCCGCGCCGACAAAATAACCGTTTTCCGATTTGTTTCCTGCGCTGTTATTCTTTCTTAGGTATTTAATTTATCGAGTATTAGGGTTATACTTGAATGGAATTGTATACAATTCGGGTAATTACGCAAAAATAGCGACACGTAGAATTATAGATCAAAGCTACGTCACGAAAATTTAGCAACTAATTTAGAAACACGGAAATATAGCGTGCACGTTACGTAAAGCCCTCGCGCGTGACTTTAGTCGTCGCGTATTTGGAGATGATTCAGATTCAGTTTTTTAGTCTATATACGTTCTGCATACTTTTCTGAAATCAGGATAACTGTTGTTTATGAGTTCGATACAAACCCAATCCTAATATTTCCCCTTATTTGGTAGAGATGATATTGGTTTGGTTTCGGCGCATAGAGTGGTTAACGTAACCGCTTGTCGGTTAAGGCTTCTTCCACCACCAAGTCCATGCATCTGAAATCAAACAAGACAGCTATGCTCAAATATGTGGACGCAGTGGGCAAAACTGAATATTTCATCACCAATTTCACAAAAATAATATGCAGTAACTTACCAGTACCTGTATCGGGGTACCGAGACGGAACAGGAACTGTCGTAGATTTTTCAGGTCCTGTGACGATGATCCATTCTCCTTAATTGAGTTTCAACGTGAATTGAAAAACTAACTGATCCTAGTCACTTCTGTATTACCAGATCAGGTGCCGCAGTCTACCACTCTAAAAAAACTTCCCAAAATCATAGGTAGTAACGTTAAGTCACCTGTATCCAGTGGTGAGCTGTAGCCGGAACGCACCGGAACGGCGTTCCGGTTGTTGGACATTTTATCGCATTTGCGTTCCTGTTTTCAAAAATAAAATTATGATTCGAAAAGTCTAATATCTGCGGGAAACTTAGTTATTAATTGATGTTTTGTTGCATCATAATTCTTTTTGCATTACAGCTGGCAAATAATTAGCGCACAGCAGTAACGTGTAACTGTAATGGATGTTTCGCCGACCCTTGACACCCGTGAAAATTCATCCAATACCTTTCTAATAATAACATTTGTATTGAATTAGTATGAACATTCTTTCAATTTTGAACAGTCATATTTCAGGTAATTTTTTCATATTTCATTGTAGTTCTTCGGCTCTATCTTACGACAGACAAAATTACTGGTAGTGTAGCAAGTACAAAAGGATAGTTACTGTGTATTTTAATATTCTCACCACTTATTGTTAGTAGTGCATGTTATTTGCCTGATACAAGGTCGTTGTCTAGATTCATTTCCTTTATGATATATTTTTCTCGCTCAGTGTAGCTTGTCTTTGCCGTTCTTTGTTAGTTAGAAATTTGGTTTCATCACATATACTTGCTTCAAGGTTTCAAGTGTAATTCGTTATTTAGATCAATTCGATTGTGCAACTTTACAATATAACAATTGGAATTCAATACATTGTGTGCTTTTTGACCTCTGAAGGAGTCAAGATCGGAGTTACACTCTGTTAACGTGTGTTCAATAACACGGGAGTGTGGACACGCAGATAGGGTCGAATCTTTGTTGCCCTATAGTAGCGTCGTGTTGTAAATATATATTACATTTTCACGAATTTGATGCGTTCCGGTTGTTACGATTTTTCCAGCTCATCACTACCTGTATCGGGATAGCTTTTCAAGGTAGCGTAGTTTTCCCAGGTTTTGTTACGATGATCCATGCTTTTTGATTCAGTTTCAACGTGAATTGAAAAACTAATTGATCCGAGTCACTTGTCTATTACCAGATCAGGTCCCACCGTCCCACGGTCTACCGTTACTACTATAAAACTAGTAGGATAGGATGGAATTTTACATATTTATCCCGGGGAGAGGAAAGC